GTAACACCATCAAGTTTGGTAATTCCTACCACAGGAGCCTCTCCCTTGTGAACAAACTCCCATTGACCTGATCTTGACTTAGTCCTGGTGATCTTCCTATGGGCGATGTGTACTTACCAGGCAGCTTGTTGCCGGCCAGGCGGAACGCATCCTTCGCAACAGCCTCGTGAAGCATTCCCTTGATTTCAAAAACAATCTGGTTTACTGCCACACGCGCAGCCCAGTGATCGAACGAGCCCTTACCCTTACCCATACGCATCTAGCATCACGCATTAGCATCGGTACGTGCCATGTGCTCTGTCATCCCTTACCTCGTTACCGGAGACGTAGACTCCGACGTTACAGCATATCCTCTTGTACAGACGGTACTTCTGACCACGCAATCTCATCTTGATGGTGTCCTCGGCGTTCTTTAATTGCTTCGCGCTGATTCTTCGGTGGTGGTCCTTCATGCGAAGGCCATAATCGCCCCAGATGACAGTCGTGCCCTTGGTCGATCCTCCGGTTGCCACACGAGGCCGTCCCTTCATCATCTTCTTCGTTCGGTCGATCGAGGGTTCGAGCCAGTTGCCTTGCCTAGCAGTTGTCGACGAGAACGGGCGGGCCTCGCGGAGGATTTGTGATGCGACCAGTGACTTGGTCAATTGGGGTCGGATGGCAGCGCCAAAGGGGTTGACTGATGGCGCCGCAGAGATCCTGAGGCCTTGGAAGGCGCTGAGAAGCGCCGAGGGAGCGTTGGGTCTCATGTTTGCGACTTGCCGATTGATGAGGTTGACGATACTATCTCCAAAAAAATCCCCAGCTTTGCAGCACGAAGTGTGGCTGAGGTGGCCTGAGAATTTGGGCGCTCGTTTTTTCCTGAGGCTTGGAGCTCCTACTTCAGCCACATCCCACTCTAGTGCTTTAATGGAAAGAGCGACCGGGGGTCACGGACCTCGCGTCACTTTCGCGTAGGAAATCCATTACGAGCACGCTCCTCGGACGCCAGGCACGAACGAAGCAATTGGCATCGGCCGTTGACCAACATCCCACCTCCCTTAGGCAACAGCATCACAACGAGCCACTTTAAACTTCGATCACACCCCGATTGCAGTCAAAACATAACAGGTTTCCAGGTTGCTGCAACACCAATTCACAATGCCTGCTGACATCCGGTCCTTCTTTGGGCCAAAGGGTGGTGCACCCCCCAAGCCCGCACCGAAGAAGGTCGAGGAGCCACCCAAGAGTCGAAGGGGCAGAAAGGTGGTGGAAGACAGCGACGATGAGGAAGCACCTGCTCCGGCACCGTAAGACATGCGAAGTCTGTTTTGAATCATCATTTTACTAAATGTACAACAGAAAGCCTGCAGCCAAGGCCGCCGACAGGAAGAAGATCAAGTACGATAATCATGAACGCTGTTCTGCCCACTCTGGCTAACCGATCTTTCAGGAGCGAGGCTGTGAAAGGAACAGAGACAACCGCTAGCGATTACTTCTCATCAAAGACCTCGAAACCAGCGCCCTCGCCGAAGACAGACCGAACAACAAAGGTGAAGACCGAGGTGGAGATCCGTACAAGCCCGCGCAACAAGAAGGTCGCAGCCAGACCAACCGAAGAGCCTGCCAAAAACGGAACAACAACTTCAAAGAAGCGTACGACTACGGCTTTCAAGAAGTACGACTCGGACGACGACGCCGATGCCTATGTTGACGAGGGCGACAACGACGATGATGGCGATATCTTCGCGGCGGATATCAAGGGACGGAACAAGCGAAAGAACGACGACTACGCGGAGGACGATAGTGACGAGGAGGTGCTACCGAAGCCCAAGCGCGTGGCCTCTCGGAGTGCTGCGGCTGCGGCTCCCACCAAGGCAGCAGCTGGCACGAAGAGGCGCAAGACCCCCGAGGAGGAATCTGAGGACTCTGAGGAAGAGCAACCTCCGCAAAAGAAGAAGGCGCCCGCGAAGCCTCGTGCTCCTAGAGCCAAGAAAGCCGATGTTCCCGAGGACGCCACCTATCAGTCAATTCTGGACGACATTCCTACGGTCCGCCCTCCCACACCTCCCCCACAAGACCCCAACGCGAAGTTTGACTGGCGTAAGTCAGCTGCTGGAGGTGGCAACAGCAGTGCTGCACCCCCGAATGCTGGAGCTGCAGAGCTTCCCGAGGGTGAAGATGAGTGTCTTTCAGGCTTGACTTTTGTCTTCACTGGAGTGCTGCAAACGATCGGCCGCGACGAAGGACAGGCTCTGGTCAAGAAGTACGGCGGCAAAGTTACAGGATCACCAAGCAGCAAGACGAGTTACGTTGTGCTAGGAGACGACGCAGGCCCGAGCAAATTGAGGAAGATCAAGGATCTCGGCATCAAGACGATTAATGAGGAGGGTCTGTTCGAGCTTATTCGACGTCTCCCAGCCTACGGTGGCAGTGGTAAAGGCGCTGAGAAGGCACGCGAGAAGAAGAAGCAGGAAGAGGAAAACATCAAGAAGCAGGCTCTGGAAATGGAACGAGAAGAGAAGGCTAGGAAGGCCGCAGCTGAGAAGGCTGCGAAACAGGCAGCTGCAGCTCGTGGCACAACCACCGCGACAGCTCCGGCGGCTGCCCCAGTGCAGCTCTGGACTTCCAAGTACGCGCCAAGCCAACTCAACCACATCTGTGGCAACAAGTCCCAGGTCGAGAAAATCCAAGCCTGGCTCAGAAATTGGCAAAAGTCAAGGAAATACGACTTCCAGAAGCGTGGTGCAGACGGCATGGGCGGCACCCGTGCCATCATCATCTCCGGCCCCCCTGGTATTGGCAAGACGACTGCTGCCCACCTGGCTGCAAAACTTGAGGGTTTCGACGTAATTGAGAGCAACGCCAGTGACACGCGCAGCAAGAAGCTTGTCGAGAACGGCGTGAGTGAAATCATGAACAATACTTCGCTCCTTGGTTACTTTGCCGGGGACGGCAAGAAGGTCGATGGGGTCAAGAAGAACATCGTGTTGATCATGGATGAGGTTGACGGAATGTCTGCCGGTGATCGAGGGGGTGTTGGAGCTCTCGCGAAGTTCTGCAAGAAGACCGAAGTGCCTCTCATTCTCATCTGCAACGAGCGCAAGCTGCCGAAGATGAAGCCCTTCGACTTTGTCACCATGGATATCCCGTTCAGACGCCCAACGGTGGAGCAAGTTCGGTCTCGTATCATGACTATCTGCCATCGTGAAGGGTTGAAACTGCCCGTGCCGGTGGTAGACGCCCTGATTGAAGGCAGCAACAAGGATATTCGACAGATTATCAACATGATATCGACAGCCAAGCTCGACCAAGCAAACATGAACTACGATCAAGGCAAGGCGATGACGAAGGCTTGGGAGAAGCACGTCATTCTCAAGCCATGGGATATTTGCCAGAAGATGCTTGCGGGTGGATTGTTCGCTCCCGCCAGCAAGACCACCCTCAACGAGAAGATTGAGCTCTATTTCAACGACCATGAGTTCAGTTATCTCATGATCCAGGAGAATTACCTCAGGAGCAAGCCCATGGCGCTGAACCACAAGGGCTACAACAAGAGAGAGGAGAACCTCAAATACCTCGAACTCGTGGACCAGGCTGCTGAGAGCATCAGTGATGGTGACTTGGTCGATCGTATGATTCATGGACCGCAACAACAATGGAGTCTCATGCCTACCCACGCAGTTTTCAGCACTGTTCGTCCCGCAAGCTACGTCTCAGGCCAGCTCATGGGCTCCAACTTCACTTCTTGGCTCGGCAATAACAGCAAGACCGGCAAGCTGAGCCGTTACATCCGTGAGATTCACTCTCATATGCGACTCAGATCCTCAGGCGATGCCCATGAGGTTCGCCAGCAATACTTGCCGGTACTGTGGGACCAGCTCATCCGTCGCTTGTCTGTCGAGGGCAAGGACTGCGTGGATGAGATTATCGAGCTGATGGACAGCTACTACTTGACGCGGGACGATTTTGACGCCATTCAAGAATTAGGCGTTGGACCCCAAGCCGAGGGTCGTGCCGACATCGAGTCAAAGACGAAGGCCGCATTCACTCGAACGTAAGAAATTCTCCAATAAACCCCCTGACATACAAATGTTCTAACTTATCACAGATATAACGCCATGTCGCATCCCATTCCATTCATGAAGTCTAGCAACGTGATGGCTCCCAAGGCTGCCAAAGTGGCCCCAGACCTGGAGGAGGCCATCGAGGAAGAGGATGATGCCGCTGTTGCTGAACCTGCTGAGCCTGCTGAAGAGGATGAGCTTGATCTGAAGGGAGATAAATACATCAAGCAGCCCAAGCCCAAGGCTAAGAGAGCCACCAAGAAGGCCAAAGCAGAGGAGGACGAAGATGATGATGCGGATGCCAAGCCTAAGAGAGGACGTCCCAAGGCCAAGACTACAGCAGCAAAGGGCAAGGGCAAGAAATAAGGACTGGTAATGTGAGGTTGCCGTTTTGGCCTTTGTAATTGTTATGAACAGGCGTTGCTCTCACCGAGGGGACAGATGCACTTTAGGGCGTGGGGGGGTTGGTGGAGGACGCGGCTCCTGAGCTCTATGTTGTTAGATATTGTATTGTTCTTGTACAAAGGGCTGTTAATACGCTATATGTACTCAACTGACCCATCCTTCTTGGGGTCTTTGAAAGGCAAAATTATCACAATTCGATTTTGCACCCTTTGACCGTACGATCTGACCAGCGGTAAGCGAGGCAGTTTCTCCTTGTGCCTGACAGAAAAATGTTCTTCGCCTCCTTCCTCAAAAACTCACATCTCCCACAGAAGCTACCTTCCTGAAAAGCCGCGGAGCTTAAATCGCCCTGAGATCCCAGCTCCGTCAGGTCTATCGATTGTGGGCAAGCTTTATAGAAATTCAGAGCGCGACTTCCCTCAGGGGTCTGGTACGTCTCTCGAAGGGGATTTCACCTAATCATTGCTCACTTGTCACCTCTAGGTGAAATCTTCTGCTTTGTCGCTCACGATGCCCTCGGCCACACTGTCCACCATAACAAAGGACACAAAAATGGGCAAGCGCAAGACCTGGCCCATGAAAACTGTTGGAGGAATTGCGGAGGTTTGCAAAGGTAATTTTATATCCTATTCACCACTACCTCTTCACTCTTACTTTTCCCATGTCACTCTTTCCATTCCACTTGGACTGCTCGCTTCTACCACTCACTCAACTTTTTCTTCAATCATTACTGTCGAGATTTCTCTCCCTCCTTCCTTGCATATCAAGGATACTCTTTCATCCTGTCGACTGCAGTGGATATCAGCACACCCAACTTCCTCATTGGGGATACTGCGTCTTCGACGTATAGCTCGACCTTCAGCTGACATTTTCCGACGTCCCTCGTATAACAGTTCTCATCTCGAAGAGAAAACTGCCTCAAAAAGACTCCGAGGGGCTTACTCTTGAAAATCTGTCGGCACTATCCTCTGTACTTTCCAGACGAGGGGGGCCGGATCAGCACTCAATGGGCCGGCGAAGTAAGTGCTCAAATATCTCGCCTTTCCTCTACGATGAAACCCAATTGCATTTGAAAAATATCTAATGGGCTCTCATAAGCGATACCTGAGGCAGTGGTTGCCGTCCGCGCTCACAGTCCTCATCAGCTCTCGATGATCGAGGAGGCTTCCCGCGAATCGACCCCTATGATTGCGACCGGGGCCAATGTCGATGTTTCTGCCGATCATCTTCACAACTACCCTACCGAAGACATCACTTACGAGAAGTTCGACAGTTCTGACATTCTTGAAGAGTATGTGCACCAGAACACCGAATACCGCTTTGATGAGGGTGCTTCCAATGTCGGCCCCTTGGGCCTCGGGCATGGGGACCTAATACAGAACAACGCAGACACGGTTCTGTACGGTAATTGGGAACAGGACAACAACCTAGAAGATTTCGACCGCTGTTCCAGTATGTCTCAGAGCTTCGGCATGACTCTGTACGACGCTGACTGAAGCAGCTCCTGACACGGTGATTCATTACGATATGGACGAAATGGAAGCAGCTTACCAAGCTCGGTCTTCGTCGCCGACTGCATCATGCCAACAGTCTACCGAAAAAGGTAACATTGTTTGGAACACCTCTTAGTTGTTCTCCCTTATTCCCATACAAACTGGCGCTTCCCTTATTATTACCCCTGCCTTGCATTCATCCCTGCGTTGCTCACCAACACACATGATGTTTGCATTCACCATCATCCAGAACAGATGCTGATGCCGCTTAGGTTCAAGCACTCAGAATGCTAGCTTGAAGATGGGTAGCTCATCTAGAGCGAAGGATTGGTCGATGTTCCAGAGCAATCTGGTCGACTATAGCCCGGATGACCCCAGCCCGCGACTTCCAGGCTGCTCTGCCGGCCACCCCTACAATAAGACGTGGAAACTGACGGATTCAATGATGATGGCTTACAATGCCATGCGAGGCCCTCCGTTGCTCCCGGGAAACGATCCCCTGCGTAATTGGATGGCGATCAAGGCGACCGAGTCCATGAACGAGTCCACGATGGGGTCCACAACGGCCGAGTCGTTTCAAACATCTAGAGAGACGGCAAGCCAGGGCACAAGGTCTGTGACGCAGACATCGCCGTCAAAGGATACAACTCAGACGTCTGGACTGAGTTCTGGGGAGAAACGAGAGATGGAGGATTATGCCAAGTAAGCTCCCACGTTCAGAAGAGGACTTTCATTTAACTATCATACAGGATGCTGAAGGAGGCCAACATGGCTACGAAAGAGTATGCGCCTCCTGAGACAGATCGCAACCCAGCCTACGAAGTGCCCCGTCCCAGATATCTTCACGTCTCACCCAAGTTCAACAGCTTCAAGTTTGAAGACTACATGCCTCCCGAGCTTTCTATGCTTGGATCGGCTTACAAGCAGCCATACGATACTAATCGCGACTTCGGTAAGAGTAACCTCACTTTTCTCGTGGACATAATCTTATTTGTGACAGCTGAGGAGTATGACATCTCTGATGACGAGGGTGACCCTGAATCGGGACGTGTGTCGCCGTGCACTTTCCGTCTGCTAGCTGAAGGTTGCTCTCGACGAGACCCTCAGATAAATCAAGTCTTTATGGCGGAGGATGTATGTGGCCCGTTACTTTCCCTTCCTGAGGCTCTGGCTGACTCTGTCTCAGGCTCAACGCATGCGCCCCGAGACGCCCCTTGAGGATAATGACAGACATCTCGTCATCGACCGACTTACCCTCTCCTTTGAGCTCCAGAGAGACGTCAACGATGGGGGTTGGATCACACCATGCTACTCAGTAGAATCAGAGCCCTCCATCATCTTCAGTCCTCCAGGCAATTACCACTAGACCCCCCGGGAGTGGACCTTTCTAACCTCGTCAGGCGTTACCCTCAAGCACAAGATGCGCAACTGGTGGTTCGGCCTCTTTGACCGTATGGACCCGATTGCTGCGCGCCGCTTCCGCAAAGTCCAGTTCCGCGAGGCCAACGACCCTGTTACGCCCCTCGAGACGACCTCGGTCCGCTCGGTCGTCTCCTCCAGTACCTCCAGCGAGGACGGAATCGGCAACTACAGGAAGTCCTACACCGATGCTGAGGTCCTCGAAGCGCTGCACTCGCCCACCAGTCGCCGTGTTGCCGGCGTCGCCCCCCAGAACGCCCAGCTCATCATCTCGCAGCGCTGGCAGACAGTCACCCGATGGAAGAACCAAGACGCAGAGATGACGCGTGAGAACGACAACATGCGCGGCGCCATCGAGCGCGCCAAGATGGAGCTGCGAGAGATCCGGCTGGCGGTCGACCATATCGTGCAGAAGAAGGCCGCGGAGGACATGGCGATGCGGCAGCGCAATCACAGGCGGATCCTTCGCCAGGTTTCGGCACACCTGCACGAGCTGCGATACGAGATCCAGAGCAAGTTCGACGCTCTCAAGCATGCGCAGACCCAGAACCAGAGCATGAAGGCTGAGCTGGCGCTGCTTGAATGGCAAATCAAGAATGAGTGCGCGAGGGCTGAAATGGCGAGCCCCGATGAGGTCCGCAAGGCGGTCTCGGAGCACTTTCGGGATAAGATGATCGCTCTGGAGCTTGCAGACTGCTTCTGAGAGTGAAATTCACTGTCGCATCATTGATGCTTGGCCGGGGGTCCGCTTCACTCGACCTTGTTGAGAGTGCAGACTTGCATGGCCATAGGACACCAGGGTTCTCTCTGTTTCCTCGTCTTTCGGCCGACCAGATGGTTGGTGAAAGTCGAGAAACCAATCACTACCGGATGCATTCCCGAGGGTGAGCCGAGTATTAGGTATTGCCAAGCTGGGAATTATCAATCAGTGGGACCGTTGACTAACACGGCGCGACAGGCTGAAAGCGGGATTGGCAATTGTTGACATGCCCTTTCCTCCCGCTCTTTTTCTTGTTTGTTTTGCGCAATGTTTCGGCATAGGATATGCCCTAGTTTGAGTACGATACCCAAGAGAGGTGAAGACTTCGACGTCGGAATTGCCAACTTTCCACCGGAGGAATGTGTAGATAATCAAGGATTGAGAGTATATCACGGAAATGAATAGCCATTGAAGGTTGAATGTGATGTAGTGACAGGGAGATCAATGTCTCCAAGGCGGTAATTAAATTGTACCAGAGCTTTTTGCGAAGAATCGTGAGACCCCGGAATCCCTATCCGAGGCCTATGTACACAACATATCCAGATTCTATCCTTTTTCTTTTCTTCCAGTGAGGGCCAACCCATTTTGGCCCCCAATCCGCCATGCAATAGTAACGTCATGAGAGGAGCATTATACACCGACCGGAACGCCCAGTTCGCTGTTCCGGGAATCGACACAGTATCGTAGAACATAATGGTACAAAGGGGGCTGCGGCCGCCGAAGCCTCCCAGCGGCAGGCCAGCCCCATGAAATCTTTTGGTTGGAAAGACCCCCGCACATCAGCAGGGGCCGAGTGCTGGAGATCGCGGACGAGTCAGACGGTTTAAGCGTTCTTGACAACGCCGACCTTGGCGGCGCGCAGCACACGACCGTTGAGCTTGAATCCCTTCTGCTGGACGTGGAAGACGGTGTTGTCCTCCTTGTCGGGCTGGGGTGCCATGAAGGTGGCGTCGTGCTCGTTGGGGTTGAATTTCTCGCCCTCGGGGTTGACGCGCTCGATGCCGTGCTTCTTGAGGGTGGACATGAGGATGTCGTCGGTCATCTTGAGACCCTCGTACAGGTTAACGAGGTCCTGGAGGTCGCCAGACTTCTCGGTGGCGTTGATCTTCTCCTGAGGCACCATGGAGAGCGCGCGGTCCAGGTTATCGACGCTGTCGACGAGGTCCTTTGCGAACTTTTGGAGGGCGAAGTCGCGGGCCTGCTTGACCTCGCGCTGTGTGCGGTCCTGGAGGTTGCGGAAGTCGGCGATGGTGCGCAGGCACTTGTCCTGTTGAGCGTTGCTGTATTAGCCACTTTTTTCTCGGAGAGCCGACATCGGTAGGAGGGGTTAATTGCGTATCGACGAACCTTCCAGTCAGCGGCCTCCTTCTCCTTGGCCTCGAGCTGCTTCTTCAACGGTGACTCGGCGTCCTCAGCCTTCTCACCCTCCTTGGGCGCCTCGGCCTCCTTGGTCTCCTTCTCCTTGGCGTCGCTGTACCATCTTGCGACGGCAGGCTGAGCGGCCCGTATCCTGAAAGCCGGGGAAGTCTGGAACTGGTTTTGGAAGACAGACTTGGGGGTCTGGATGCGCATGCCGGAGCGCACAGCGCGGGAAGAGGTGGCGATAGCTTGTCTGAACATTTTGGCGTTTGTGGTTGTTGGAATTGGGGGGCGCAGGAGGTGGAAGATTTAGAGGGGAGGGTCGGGAGGCGATGCAGGGACTGTCGCGTGTGCTGAGGAGCTTTTAAGAGGGAATGAAATTTTATCTGAATGGCCCTCAGTGACGGATGGACTGCCGTTAGCCCCCGGCCACCCGGGAAACCTTTGCGCCCAATCAAGTCCGGGGATGGAGCTCCATCTCGGGGCGGATGAACGGAGGGGCCGGCGGCGAGCTTTATCGATAAGAGTAGTGCCAAGGCAAGGCCAGTGTGGTTTAGCACGCCAGGCACGACGCTGCACGGTTGCTGGACCTTCCAATTGGGAGAGCGCGACTTCACCTCGCCTCCTGTCGCAAAAATATCCTCTCAGCCTTCCCCCACTGCCTAGCTATCGCCAACTCATCCTCGTACAACCCACCCACGTCGATACTCGGTCACAAAGGCGGCTTTATCAGAAACCCGCGCACTCGATCTCGGTGCTACTATTTGCTCTTGCGACGTTTCTCAGCCCTCCACAACTTGCAAACTAGACCTCGATTCGGCAGAGTAGGCGCGATGGAGTACGAACCGATGCTGTTGGACGGCGAGTCCGGGGGGCCTCAGATCAAGATTTCGGGGGTAAATCACACCGCTTCATCGATGGAATGAAGGCCGTGGTGCTAACTTTCCATCTGTCTGGTTAGGCCGACAACATCCACGTCAACTTTGACCTTTCGAACTGCGATCTCTCTTTTGCCAACTCGCTGCGGCGCGTGATTCAGGCCGAGGTCCCGACAATCGCCATCGACCTGGTCGAAATCGAAGCCAATACCTCTGTTCTTGCCGACGAGTTCATTGCCCACCGTCTGGGTCTCATTCCCCTGCATTCGAAGGATGTCAACAGCTTACTGTACTCCCGGGATTGCGACTGCGAGCAGTACTGCGACAACTGCAGTGTCAAGCTTACCTTGCACGCACGCTGCTCCTCCGACGAGACGATGAAAGTTTATGCGAGCGACCTGATTGTCGATAGTTTCAGACAAAATGGCACCGTAGGAAACCCGGTCATCATGGATCCGGAAGGCCAGGGCTCTCTGATCGCAAAGTTGCGCAAGGGTCAAGAGCTCAAGTTGTCGTGTATCGCAAAGAAGGGAATCGCCAAGGAGCACGCGAAATGGATGCCCACGGCTGCTGTCGGCTTTGAATACGATCCTCATAACAAGCTGCATCACTTGGATATGTGGTACGAAGAGGATGCGAAGGCGGAGTGGTAAGTCTCTAAAGGTTGGCAACGCGCAGTGTGTTATGGCTAAACATGTTTCTCTAGGCCTGAGAGCAAGTACGCGAAGATGGAGGACCCTCCTCAAGAGGGAGAAGCGTTCGACTACGACGCAGTACCTGAAAAGTTCTACTTCGAGGTCGAGGGCGTTGGGAGTCTAGAGCCCGACCAGATCATCCAGGAGGGAATCAAGATCATCCAGGAGAAGATGGCACTGTTGCTGCACATGCTCACCGGCGAGGCGGATGACGACGGTATGGGCGACTTTGACGGCCCACGTAGCCCCAACCTGGACATGGACGGTGGCAACCCCTGGGGACAGGACCAGGGTTACACCACCCCGTTCAACGGAGGCGCTCAAGGCTCATGGGGCGGAAGCGCGACGACTCCGTACGCTACCACCACACCCTACGGTGGTTCTGGCCAGTCTGGCTGGAACTGAGCATGATGATCCACACAATAAAGGCGTTAATGATCTCTTGAAGATGGGCGGCAATGGAGTTTTGCGAGTTTTGAGGACAGCCAGCATCAGCATGGACTGGCCTATTCACATAAAAAGACATTTGGGGTTCGCTGTATGAGTATGAGACTGGACCAGCACCTCGCGACGGGAGCATCTCAGGGGTAAGAGGGGAGACAGTTTTGATTCTTTGCCAACGTGGCTTTCCTGGCATATAGACTTGGCTCTCATACTGGCCTGGACGTCCGCGAGGGATGACGTCGTAAACTGAAATGGCGATGCAAGAAAAAACGATACAAAAGGTGAGGGGTGACGGGGCCGAAAAATACGAGTAATCTGAAGACTCCAGCCCTTCGAGGCACCTCTAATACAACTCACAAACAGCCCAAATATTTGTCTTTTTGAAGCGAAAACCAGCATCCAACTCTTTTGTGTATCCCCAAGACTCCTGTCAAAAATGCAACAGATGACCTCTTTCCAACGCCCCCTCATAACATATGCAGTGTCTAAAACGCTGAAGTCTAATGCTACCTTACTCCCTAGATGGCTTCCTCGCCGCCAACGTCAGTCACCGCTCTATAGACCTTGCGGTGCATTTCTAGGAAGACGAATGTACAGATGGTTTGGCTGTTAGATGGTTAGTCGATTGTTAGTGTTTGATGAGAGGAGTCAAAAAACTCACGGTCCAAGCCTTAAAAAACTAGGTACCCAGCCCTTGAACATCCAACCCAGGCCCTCTGCCTTGTAAATCTTGGCCAGGGTGTGCGCCAGCCCCTCCTGCGTGGTTGCGGACATGACGCGGGTCTTGATGACGTCGATCGGGCTGGTGACCGTCGCGGCCATAACACCCGCGAGGAAGCTCGCCGTGAAATGGGTGGTGAGGTTGTCGCCCATGGGCGTGTGCCTGATGAGCATGCCCTTGAAGGTGTCGTATGACGCGAGCTGGGAGGCCGTCATGGCGGCGGCGCGCATGCTGTTGGGCAGCACGCCGCGGAACCAGCTCATGATGCCCTCCTCGCGCGCCATGCGCAGCATGCCCTCGAGGGCGTGGTTGTAGTTGCGGCGCTCGGCGGCGGGCAGGGCGGCGTCCTGCTGCATGCGCACGTTGAGCACGTCGGCGGCGTTGCCCGAGATGCCGCCGACGAAGCCCGAGGCGGAGGCCATGGCGACGAGGACGGGGAAGGCCGGGGCTTTGCCGTTGTTCTTGCGGGTCGCGCGGACCTTCATCTCCTCGTAGGCGCCGAAACGGACGGTGGAGTAGGTCATCTGGCGGAGGAGGGAGGCGGAGAGGCCGTTGTAGAGGCCTGTGATGCCGTGGTTGCGGACGATGTGGGCGAATGTGCCGACCATGTTCTTTGGCGCGTCGGGACGGCGGACTTGCAGGCGGACCTATGCATTTTCTTGGTAAGTATGGGTGGTTCGTTCGGGATTGCATGTTCGTCACGGCAATTGGGGTGTTCGTGATTGTGTGCTGGTGGTGTTGTTCGGGCGCATGCGTACCTTGACTGAGACATCGTCAGCAACCTGTAAACTCCGGCATTGCGATATCGCAGGTGCTTATCATGCACACGCTTCCTCGATCACAAGCACGGGGGAAGAAGACTCACCCAGATCCAGGGGATGTGTTACGCAGGCGGCCATACTACTGGCGCTGCCTCCGAACCAAAAGGGGTATCGCATGGAGCTATCCGCCTTCTTCTTGGGTGTCGTCGTCTGCTTCTGCTGCGGCTTCTCCTGGCTATCGACTTGCACCGCCTTCACCGGCGACGATGAGGACGACGCCTCGTCGGCGGGCTTGCTGGAGGCGGCGGCAGGAACCATGTTGGCGGTGGACTGCATCGTTGCAGCTATGCGATCTTAACCGAAAGGCTCATCCCGCTGCGGCGCAAAGTGAACTTGCGTCGCGGAGAACTAGAAACCTTTATCTGAATTTGCCCAATTGATAACCGGAAAGGTTGTCTTCCTGGTGACCTATGTAGCAAGGTCAAGGTTTCTGTTTGTCGCCGATTCTAGGGCAGAACGTCACTTTCGGGGAGGGTTGCGGTGACGTCTAGCGCTCGAAAAAGCCGACTTCGGGGTTGGCGTTTGGAGAAGTTGGAGGTGGTAAGGTGGTGCGTGGGTGGAAGAAGCCGAATGGTTCGTTCGGCTCGGTGTATCACGAACTTTTTTTCCTCCCCTCTCCCCTTGGGCCTGATTAGAAAAAAACAACCCCCCAATCCTCCCAGCTCTCGGCTGTTATCGGCGCTGGACGAGCAGAAAGCTGCTGCGTCATGGGCGCTAATCAGCAGGGGTGCCATGCGCTACAGCGCCTCCAGGACCCCGGGTCGGCAGCCCGCCCGTCGCCGAAAAGACAAGACGGCGTCTGGTCCGTGCGTCCCGTCAGTTTTCTTGCGATCGACGGCGACGACCGACTTACTCAGGGCTCCAGCTCCATTCTCGGCGAAGGAGACCAATTGTCGAGTCACCGCTGCAGTTCCGGACACCTTCGAGGTGCCCGTAATGAACATTTAATTCCCGACAAAGCCTTTGCGTCGTATCAAGGGCAATTCAAAATATGCTCATCCCAAGGCTAGCAGGGAGGCAATTGCGCAGCTGCTTCCGTGGCGCCATCTGTCCCGGTGCTGCCCCTCGACAATGGACAAGCCCCGCGCTGCTGCTGTCGAGCAGTAGCCGGCGCGCATATTCCTCAGGTCAGACCAAGATCTACTCCGCCGTGGGCCATATCAATTGCTGAGCGAAGCGCAGCAGCAGCAGCAGACCAGAAGAAGAAGACGATCGAGGTCAACGGCCAGACCATTACGACCGACGAGTGGTTCAACGTGCCCAAGACCGTCGTCGACGCGGCGTCGCGCAAGCTTCACCTGCAAAAGGACCACCCCGTCTACATCACCCGGCAGATCATCGAGTCGCAGTTCCCCGCGCCGACGTACAAGTACCACAACACCTTCGACCCCGTCGTCTCGACGCACCAGAACTTCGACTCGCTGGGCTTCCCGCTGGACCACCCCGGCCGCGCCAAGTCGGACACCTACTACTTCAACAAGGAGACGCTGCTGCGGACGCACACGAGCGCGCACCAGGCACAGACGTTCAAGAAGAACCTGAGCGAGGGGTACCTCATCAGCGCGGACGTCTACCGCCGCGATGCCATCGACAGGAGCCATTACCCCGTCTTCCACCAGATGGAGGGCGCGCGCATGTGGGACCGGACCAAGGTGCCCAACGGCGACGTTGCGGCCGCCGTGTGGGAGGACGTGAACAAGCTGCCCAAGCACGGCGTCAAGGTCGAGGACCCTCATCCCGCCTTCGACGCCGAGCGGAACCCGCTGCAGGAAGGCCATCACTCGGCCGCCGAGGCGGAGGCCATCGGCGCTCACCTGAAGCGCTCTCTTGAGCTCATGGTCGTTGAGATCTTCACGCGGGCCAAGGCGGCCGCCGCGAAGGCGGACCCCGACTACAAGGACGAGCCGCTGCGGGTTCGCTGGGTGGAGGCGTACTTCCCCTTCACGAGCCCGTCCTGGGAACTCGAAGTTTACTACGCTGGGGACTGGCTCGAGGTGCTGGGCTGCGGTGTGGTGAAGCAGGACATCTGCATCAACGCGGGGGTGCCCAACCAGCTGGGCTGGGCTTTCGGCATCGGCCTGGAACGTATTGCCATGCTCCTCTTCCAGATCCCCGACATCCGCCTCTTCTGGTCGCAGGATGAGAGATTCCTCGGCCAGTTCAGGGGCGTATCAGACAAACTCGACACCATGAAGCGCTTCGTGCCCTTCTCCAAACACCCGGCCTGCCACAAGGACGTCTCATTTTGGCTGCGCGGAGTGTCGGCAGCGGGCGGGAACATCAAGGCCAGCGCGCAGGACTTCCACGAGAACGACATCATGGAGCTGGTCCGGGATATCGCCGGTGAGCGGGTCGAGGACGTCCGGCTTGTGGACGAGTTCACACATCCCAAGACGGGGAGGCGCAGCATGTGCTACCGCATCAACTACCGAAGCCTGGAGCGCACCCTGACCAACGAAGAGACCAACGAGCTGCACAACGAGGTGACCCGGAAATTGGTCGAAAAGCTAGGTGTCGAGATCCGGTGAGGCATAATCTGCGCTTGCACATCGAGCGTTGAGGGGTAAGGGGGCTGTGTAGCCAACACTCGAGCGGTCTGCAGAGACGGGACGACCCTATTGGAGTGAGTCCCTGCGAAACGGGGTCGGGATCCCTTAGCATGCCGTTGTCAGTCGTGGCTACTTCTCGCTTGGGGATGTCGTGAGGGAAAATTGCTGCCAAGGCAACGGCATGACTTTGCCCGCCCTGCTTGAGTAGCTGATTTTCTCAAATCGCGAGTATATCACGCCATGTATGATAGAATAACTTGTACTATAAGACCGCACTCGGTATTCCCAGCTGGCTGAGCGGCCTTCCGCTGTGGACCAGAGTTCACAGGGCAATCTCGGGGATTTGATAGACCCCATGGACCCGTCCACTCACAGATCTCTGTTCCTTCGATCTTGTTCGTTTGATGTTCGTTCTCGGGAAAAGATGTCACAGAGCGAGACTTCAGTGCTGCGCAGTGCCGGACCGTACAAGCCCTGCAACGGCAAGAAACATTTTGACACGGCATAGCGCCAGGCGCCCGGGCGGGCGATTCGGAAAGGCGGATCTGCCCTGCGGTCGCCCTTGTATGATTCTGCCGAGATTCTCGAACGGTGAGATCATGCTCGGATGGGAACAGAGTCAATCGCCGGGTCGCAATCTGAAGCAGTGACGCCGTGGTTGCAGATCGATTGTATCATCCATAAACCTACAATGCCCGGGCGGTGCGTTGCTGCAGTAGCGTTCGGAGGGAAAGGCAGAATTTTGGCCCGTCGTCTGAATAAGTTGGGACGGTCGTGCAAGTCAGTTTCATGCCTCCCGTGATAGGGCGGAGTTCAGTCTGTTGCTCGCAACGTATGAAAAGTCTGGATTCTGGATATTGCCAAGCTCAGCCACGCTCCCATGTCTAACATCCGGCGTGTTTTCGCTTCGGGTCGGATGTCATTGTTGGCAGGTTGCTGCTGGTTTCCTGAAGCGGGTTCCTGACGATGTGTTCAAACGGGAATGAGATGAGCTTTGCCATGCCTCAGGTCCGACTTTGCTATGGAAAGTTTATTAGCCGGTCGTCTTTCTGGGCAGGCAGTTTCCCTCGTGGCAAGGAAGGCCCCGCGATGCGTGGAGATAAGCTGCCAGGCGCATCGAGGGTGGAGTGTCTGAGAGTCTGAAGTTGAGAAGAAAACGGTATAGTAGCAAACGGTTTATGGAGAACCGTGCCCCGAGCCTAATGCTCAGGATCGCCGGACGACACTCCACAGTCAAAGGACATGAAGATGGAATTTCACAGGAAAAGGCGCTTCGGCGTTGGAGGTTGGTGAGTCTGGAGACACGGGAGAGATATGCGAGTGGATCGATTATTGATTGTCGTGCATGCGGGTTCAATGGCGAGACTCCTCTAGTTACCCGACTCGGCAACTGGTCCCTGATAGTGCAAAGCGCAAGTCAGAAGGACATTGGAGTGCAGCAGCGGTTGCGGAGCGCAGAAAGGGAAAGTCTTGGCCTAGAAGGGTGTCTGGGGAAGCCGATTGCAGAGCGAAACATCAATCTGGCAGGTCGAAAGTCTTGGTATTCTGCACAGCCTCGTTTCCAGATCGCGAGGGAGCTGACCACCAACAGTTGCCCGTAAGCTGCGTCGGGCGGGCGCCGGGCGGGCGGGGGAGAGGGAATTCTGTGTAGCACCAGATCATTTGAGTTGAGACATCGAATGTCTGCATCGCATCCTGACGAGAGGAGAGGCATTTTTGCTGCGACAGATGGCTTGGCTGTGTCGAGGGCGCTATTGACAGCAAATTTCCTTCTCATCCGTATACTGCGGAGACCAATCGTGGCTGGCGGATGCTCGGGATCAGACGAGACGAACGAGCGTGCGCTGTGGTGTCTGTTCGGCGGCGTTGGAAGGGGCTGAGGTTCAGTGCAATTTGCCCCGTGTTGGCTGAGCGGAAGGCTCTTTGTAGGGCGACTCGTACGCTGCCGGGCTGAGCCGGTGTGGGAAGATTGACAACTGGTGGGCTTTTCCGGCCGGATTTGCAATATCGATCGCGAAAGAAGGCGAGGAGCCTCGCTCCAGCTGACCTTTGAGTCATGGTTTCAATAGCATGAAGACGTAATTGCTGCGGCTGTCGAGAGGAGTTTCCATCATCAATCTTGAACCAGCCCCAGAGCGACGTGTGATGCCGTGGCGAGTTGTCGAGCCAAGACCAGCAAGACAGCCTCAGCCATCAAAAGCATCATGTCCTAAGGGTTGGGGTCTCTTTCAGAAACGACAACTGTGAGAGGGCCTTGGCGAGGTAGCCGTCGTGGTGGTCCAAGGAGGCGGCGCCTCAAACTCAACTCTATGCCGCAATATCCAGGCGTCGTAGGTACAGTGGTCAAGTGCTTCAGCGTGGTGAGGGCGATGGCAGACTTCAGGTGTCGTGTGAACACAATAACCTATCGTTACACAGCCCCCGGTCCCTCTTTGGCGCGGCGGCTTAACTGTTGACGATGTGGGGGAGCTCGGTTGAACCCCTGGGTGTCCAAATCTTTACCCCGATAGCGTGAGAGCGGGGAGATGTGTTGTCGAGTTGATAGCTGGCAAATGACAAGTGAGATAATGCTTCTGATGGTAACGTTGATAGTCGGAATATGCCCGAGTCCCGACTGGGCAAGTGCGTTCCATTGATCGCTGCAGCCATGTGCAGGTAGGTAAGCGGCTGCATATCGAAGGGTCGTAACAGAGGGTTACGAGAGACCCAAATCATCGGAAAGCGGCA